GATGATGTTAAAAAAAAGTCCGTCAATAATGCTTCCTTTATCGTAACATCCTCAAGTATTCTACGTCCTCGTTTTCTGTTTCAGAACCTCTTATGCCGGCTACTGCCATGTTCCCGAATCTTATCCGAACTATTTTCCTCTGATTACAATGTTTACTCGTGCGGTTAACGGAACAAGGTGACTAAGAAGGGGATGAAGGATGAGACAATTAAAAGGCAATTCTGATAATTGAACTTGCCGAAAGCTTCCCCTCACTGGCGATGAAGTCCGAAGGTTTACGATTGCCGACGCGCAAGCGGAAGACGTACAATAAGCAAGCTTGTTTGTCAAAAAATTTGTGTCGTCCCGTGAGTAAATGGCAGGCCGCGCCTTTGGGGCTGAAATTAGCAAAAGTGAAAAGTAAAGGCACCCTCCGGGCTTGCTAATGTCCCGGACCAAGGGGCGCATTCCATAGCAATGAGGGTAGCCAAGATAAATTACATAATAATATATGTAGGCGTCAAGTACTGGAAGGGAGCCTGACTTAGTATCCATAGGGGTTAGGAGCAACCCCTAAAAGAAAAAATTTAAAGGACGTCTACCACGCAACCTGATATCTCGATGTCTCTTTTGAATCGTCTAAAAATCTCTTAGACATCTGCATCACTTCCGGCGTGACCTGTAAATACAAATAGAAAAAGACAAAAATGAAAATAATATAATATCCTGGAATAAAAGTATCTTTCGTATCAGACGCACGAAGTGTCACGAATTTTTATTTACTCGAGTGATGAAAAAAGTTATGGAAACGTCTTATCGGCTGTTACGTCACTTAATTAAAGTCAGGTACATCACCGTGGAATCCTCACGGTGTAAATTCTACAAACAGGAATCTCATTTACCATTTATAGGATAATCCAATAATCCTGCTTGGTAGATAGATGGATATCTAGATGTTAGCCAGTAACAGATAAGAAAAAGAAAAAAATTTTTTAAAGCAAACAGTCAATTGAATATCGCTAAATCTTTCAGTGCAGTTACTTGGAAATCGATTAATTCACTCAACCTGAAGATTTTACAGTCGAGGAATTATTCATTAAAAGAGCCGCGCCCGTTCGACAATAAACTTTATTAACTTCAAATATTCCGCTTTGTGAAATAGCAAGTATATAATTTGTCATCTGAGTCATGCAAAATATGAATTGTTAACAGTGTCGCAACACAATTGTCGTTTGTTACGTGCAGAGCGTACTTGTTGAACTGGTTTACTTAAAAAGCACAACCCCTAGTCTATTGAAATATAAAAAGTATACGAAACAGGTGGGACTGAACGAGGGGTAGTAACTTTTATACGGGAAGGGTTTGGAATTCATCTCTTCATTATTCGGAAATTAGTAACCCCAGTTCGTTCTTCCTTCCCTCTCCAACTTACTCCCTTGGTAGTCTCCTTTATAGTCTTTCTGCATCTGCGTCAATCTTACTCACTTGCACCTGCTTGTATTGAATGACAGAAATTAAATTTCTCCAAATTACCCATATATATGTAATGTTTATTGGTAATGCGGTCACAGTCCTATGTAGATATTTGTAATAAAAAAATCAACAGCCAAGAAAGGTAAGCGATTCGTACGCAGGATACAAAAATTTATTTCTGTATAATACGTTATTAAATTTTTCGAAATAAATTTTAAAAAGTAAAAATTGATGCATCGTCGTTTCGGTTTAAGATCATCAACATCAACCCCCCTTTCAATCTGCAAAATATGGTTTTAGTCATAGCACATTTTTATGGATAGAGGGACGATATTATTTTGCAAATAGATATTCAAATGAACGGACTATCCCTATCAAGTTTCTAGCGCATGGATCTAGATATCAATAAGGTAAGAGAACATATACCCGAATCAAAATGTTCCTGGTACCTACAGCTGAAAGAAGACAGAAAGAGGATCTAAGGGATGTAATAAAATGGGTCCCTCTGTCTGTCCGTGAAAGTGAAAAAGGAATCACAGAAGAGTGACGAGTAGAAAAAGGCGGTAGATATACAGATGGCAAGAACAAAAAAAGAAACAGTAAATCCTAAGAGCCGCGAGGTGAGTATAATTAATCAAAAATTTACATAATATAATTTAAACACTGACAAGACCTGAAAAGCGACTAAAAAAAACAACCTCGCGAAAATACATGCGAAACTTCGTCCTCTGGTCTATTAATTTTTACAAATTCGCCAACATAATGTTTATTCAGCTATTGTACAGATCTAATCAAGAAATGGACATCCAATAAGTAAACAAGTACAATTACCTATGACAGAGAGGCTCGAGTAAACGTTACGTAACGAGAATTGCGCCTGAACAATAAAAAAAAAGTGTCGAAATCGTGCAATTGGTCTCAGTGGGCGTGAAAAGGGGTCGCAGAGAAAGCGCCGTGGTCCAAGTCATTGTTATTCCAGCATCTCTCCCATTATTTATTTTATATTTAAACAAGCCAGTCTAGAATAGAGCTATATTCGGTCTATATAGAAAGACCGACACCTCGGCGCCAAACTCACCCTCCTGAGACTCTGCAGACTCACCTCCATCTCCTCTATGGCCCCGACCATCTCCGAGCCCCGTAAACCACCCCGACGCCCGACCCCCGTTTCGCAAACCCACCCAACCACCCATCCACCCAGCCAGCCAGCTACCTACCCTCTTTCAGTCTCTCTCAGCCACCCTTACCCTCTCACGGTCTTTCGCTTCCTCACTCCCGTCTCCAGACAACTCCTACGTAGCGAGGCGAGCAACCCTCTAGCTATCTCCAAAATCATCCCTTACATTCTGGAGCTAGCGCTATCCTACGAGGGACGCGGACGGGGGAATACG